GGTTACTTTGTTCACTGTTTTTGCAACCACCACCATCAGATCATTTGTGATCTGATGGCTGGGAAGCACACTGCTGTGATTTCCGGTGGGAGGTCTCTGTTTCTTCTTTTTTTTTTGGCCTTTTTCCTGTTTTCTCAGCCCAGATTCGTAATGAACTTGTCACACTGGATCGGGCACACTCCTATCCGACTGCTAATGGGACCTCGCCACTGGGGCTCTTACCACCCAAGGCGTAGAAGACCTGGCCCTGAACGATGATTGATTTAAAATAAATATATATAGAGAGAGAGGTCTTTGAACCCTACACGCCTCACTTTTTCTTTTTCTTTTTGCCTATTTCCCTGAGGAATAAAAATATAGTAAGTTACATGGCCACACTCTACCGCATGCGGGGATCATGGCCGCGGGGGTTACATAGCCCTATGGTAATGGGACTGCCAGTCCACGGAGGGCGTCCTGGAAAGCTGCGCCCGCCGCCCACTTTACCCACAGGGGCCTGCCGAAAAGATTTTCAGGCCAGGGACGCCACAGGGTAAATAGGCCATAGCAGGGGTGGGACGCAAAATAACGAAAAATACAGGGGCGCCAGAGAAAATTCCCCTTTTCTTTTACATTCTTTTACATTTTATTGAATTCTTCGAAACCCCCTAATAGTATAGTATATCTGGGCGTTGGATCCATATGGCAATAGTTTGTCACTCATGTCACACCGTACTAGAATTCTGAACGAAGTACCCCCCCCCCTCTCTAGCGGGAATTGGGCCCGGCTTCCCACATAGCTACCACCTCATCGCCTCTCCTTCTTCAGGGGCTCGAAGAAGGAGCGGCTAAGGACACTGTGAACAGATTTCCACATCCGGCCTCGTCAGAGCCGTCGGGACAATCCCGTCTCCCATCGCATCTACCTCCATCTACACACCAGGTGCCATAGCATTTGACCTTGTGCGGCAGACACGTGTAGCTTTGACAGAAGCTGGCATTCTCATCGCTTCCATCTGCACAATCTTCGTTGCCATCGCAGTAGGAGCCTGAGATGACCTCTGTCCAATCGCTACTGCATCTAATTCGCGAAGAAGCCTCCATTATCCTGCCCGCCTCTGCGGATGCGCAGAAGGTCGCGTTCTCATCGCTGCCGTCAAGACAATCCTCTATGCCATTGCATATAAATGCGGAGTAGATGCAAGTTCTCGCTTGCCCAGGGCATTTAACCAGCCTGAAGAACGGCGACTCGGGGCATGCCTCCTGCGACGCGCAGAAGGCCGGATCTTCGTCGGACCCATCCTCGCAATCCTGCACACCGTCGCACCATGTCGACTCTGCTGTGCACTGTCGCCCATCCTTGCAGGCGGAGCATCTCGTCCTGCAGAACTCGGGGTCCTCATCTGAGCCATCCCGACAGTCCTTGATGCCATCGCACCTGGCCTTCGGCTGCGAAGCGCAAATCCCGCTTGGGCAGCGGCCAAAATAGCACGGATAGGTGTCGCACCCGACCTCGTCCGTTCCGTTGGGGCAATGGGGCACGTCGTCGCAGAAGTTCCCCTTGAAAATGCAGGTCTGGTTGTCGCCACCTGGGCACTTCACTCTCCCATCCGGATCCGGACATTCCGCTGTGGCACACCAACTTCCCTCATCGCTCGCGTCAGGGCAGTCCGGATTGCCGTCGCACAAAAGATTCCTGTCCAGGCATCGGCCGCTGGGGCATTGAAAGTGCGCGTTCCCCTGCTTGGATCGCGCACAGCCGCGCTGCTTGCAGAGGTTATCGCTCTCGTCGCTCGCCCCCGGGCAGTGTGCCACACCGTCGCACAGGTTCGACTCCAGGACGCAGCGACTGCTGTTCGTGCTGCCAGCTCCCGGACATGGCATCCTTCTCGGGGGTGGAGGTCTCGACCAGCCTATCCTCGACTCCACAACCCGGTGCGACACGTTCGCCGCACAGTCGTACGTCCCACAAAACCCCGGGTCCTCATCCGATCCGTCCGCACAGTCGTTGATCCCGTCGCACAGGTAGTACTTGTACGGGTCTTGGTAAGGATAGCGCCAGTAGCCGTTGCCATCACTGACATTCATGCAGAAACTGGCTCCGCTTGGACAGTCGTATCTCTCGACAGAGGGGCAATCAAAGAAGGCGCACCGCGTCCCTTCATCGGAACCGTCGATGCAGTCCTCCACGCCATCGCACTCTCTGCTGGGCTCAATGCACTGCTCGATCCCACCATGACACTGCTTGAAGCCGTGAAAGCAGAAGAACTTGTCCCCATACCTCACGCCATTGACGGCAGGGGTGCCACGTGTCGCTTCGAAGAAGCTGAACGCTATGAAAACCAACAGAAGCGCCATAATGGGCGTCATCTGATTGCTTCTCATTCTCGTCCTGCTCCACCTCTCCGTGCTTCTTGCACTCCCTTCTCCTTCCCCTGCACACGCGGCACAAATCAGCTTAGCATACGTCGCACCTCCTCCTCCTCCTCCTCCTCCCCCCCCTCCCCCTCCCCCTCCTCCTCCACCGCCGTCGCCGATTCCCGCTTGCACTGCCTTCACCCCTTCTCTTACCCGGGGCCGATGTCCCACTTACTCGCCCGAATTCTTCGTTTTTGGCTCTCTCTCTCTCTCTCTCTCTCTCTCTCTCTCTCTCTCTTTCTCTCTCTTTCTCTCTATGTTCTTTCTCTAATCTCTCTCTGAATCTGACTGATTCGTCGAAATAAAGCATACCATTGTAAAATCAAAACATAAATAGCATCCGCTGTTATCAGGGCCTAATGTTTCCCGGCAAATACACCTTGAGAACCAACTTTAGTCGCAGATATACGTTTTAGATTGCGGGAATACTTTTTTTTTTCCTGACGGGCAAGAATGCCCCTCTTACCGACTGTCTTCTTGGGAAGGTATATTTACTGGGAAACACAAAACATGGGTATTTTAAGGGGACCCCTGCTGGCCTTACAAGTAGTGGTAGGTAGATAGACAGTGAGAGGTGAAAAGAATTTGAGAGAAGAACAAAGTAAAGAAGAAAATGGCGTTTCTGCTATTCCCTCTCGGACTGATTCGTCGTCGAAGTACAGTACTCAATCGTGAAATAAAATAAATGACAGCCCCCAGCTCCGAGGCTGAGAGCATAACTAATTAACTTACTATCCGTAAATTTGCATTCAGTCCTCCGGGACATCCGTTAAAATTGGAATGATACAGAAAAGATTAGCATGGCCCCTGCGCAAGGATGACACGCATAAATCGAGAAATGGTCCAATTAAAAAAAATAAAAAAATAAAAAAAATTGCATTCAGTCATTCAATTGACAATTCCGTTCATATATATTTTTTCAGTAGATCACACGCCAGACACACGTGACACCCGCGGGCTATTTGGCCGGCGCGGCCGAAAAAGTCGGCCGCGGCCGCGGCTTGTTGTTTTTGGATGTTTTGTTTAGGGTAAAAAAATACGTGAAAAAATAAAAATAAAAATAGGGTTGTCGGGTTTGCAAAACCCTACAACCCTATATGTTATTATTTTTTGTTTTAGAATTGGACTTCCCTTACTAATTTAAAAAGATGAAAAAGCACCCAAGAGCCTAGCTCAGTGGGTACACCCATGAATTGCTGAAATAACAGACCCGTGTTCGAATCCAGATGATGGAATTTGATGAATAAAACCAAATATTTCTGAATTGCCTGGGGCCGGTCAGCTCAATGATGATATCTCAAGGCCGTTCGCCCT